ACACCTACTGGGTGTCGGTCACTGTTCTATGTAGTGGCATGTAGACCACTTACTGAGAGAAACAATGAGGGTGCTCTATGGTCTTAGCTGAGAGCCAGCTGACTTTATAGTTCAATCTGTAGGGGCTCATGAACTAAACTTCAGAGGTTCCAGGTTCAGTTCTTCCTGTTGGCACTAAACCTGCACTTCATTGATCCTGTCACGCTTCCCACACTCCAAACCTCTGCTCTAGCCCAGAGTCTGCACTCCTTCCCCGAGGCTGTGTAACACACACCTACTGGGTGTCGGTCACTGTTCTATGTAGTGGCATGTAGACCACTTACTGAGAGAAACAATGAGGGTGCTCTATGGTCTTAGCTGAGAGCCAGCTGACTTTATAGTTCAATCTGTAGAGGCTCATGAACTAAACTTCAGAGGTTCCAGGTTCAGTTCTTCCTGTTGGCACTAAACCTGCACTTTTTACCACACCCAAACTCCCTCCCTCCTCCCAGTGCACCCAGAGTTACTCCCAGATTCAGCACCCAAACTCACCTTCCTCCTGCCATACATACACCCAAACTCCCTGCCCCAGCCTCATGAAAGTGAAGGTGGGGGAGAGCAAGCAACAGAAGGAAAAGGGATGGAATGAGTAGGGTGGAGGATGGGGTCTCAGAGGAAGGGCAGGGGTGTGGCATCAGGGAAAGGACAAGGGTCTTTGGAGTGGCATGATTAGACAGGTTAGCAACCCTACTGGGTGGCATGGGCAGTTGATGAAGGTAGGGCTGGGGAAGGCAAGCCTCTTGCCTCTTCTGCCAAGGCCCTGCTTGGAAGGAGGGGGCTGTGGTCTGGGGCAGGGGTTTGGGGTGCATGGTCCAGGAGACAGTATGGATGCAGGAGAGGATTCTGTCCTGGGGAAGGTGCTCTAGGAGGGGATTCAAGGTTTGGGAGGGAGTTGTGAACGGGGTGAAAAGGGTTTGGGTGGTGACCTGGGTCAGGGGCTTGGGATGCAGGGTCAGGGAGGGCTTATGGATACAGGAGAGGATTCTAGCTTGCGGGAGGGATGTAGGAGGTGTGCAGGGTCTGGGAGGGAGTTATGACCTGGGAAAAGGGGCTACAGAGGATTTGGGTGGTGGACTGAGACAGGTAGTCAGAAAGGAGATACTTACCTAAACAACTCCCAGCCAGAAGCCCTGCAGAAACCTGAGGCAGACTGTCTGCTGCAGGCTGCTCCATGTCACTCTGCTCCAGGCATGAGGAGGGGGGAGACTTCCCACACTGTCCCTGTCCCCAGCAAAATTTATCAGATCCTATTGGCCAGAAACTGGCCAATGGGAGCTCAGAGATTTTGCTGGGGCGGGACAGGGATGGCACGCAAAGTCTCCCGACTCCCTCCCTCCCCAACTGTCCGGAGTGGAGAGCAGCTGGCTTTTTAAAGTGTGAAGCGTTGTCTACCTAAGGGTTCTGGTGAGGCTGTTGCCACCCCTGCTCTGCCTCAGGTACCCTCTCTAGCCTACCAGCAACCACGTCCTTCCTGCTCCACAGCTGGAGCAAGAGCCTCCTCTCCAGGAGCCCCTATTTATACAACCGCAGCTAGGCCCTAATTAGCTGCTGTTTGCCTCAGCCACTTGCTCCTTAGTCTTAGCCCTCTCCCAGGACTGGGTTTGACCCTTGTTCCACCTAGAGCGGGGTTAAAATCGCAATTAATTTTTTGAGTTAATTATGTAAATTAACTGTGATTAATTGACAGCTCTAATAAAAACACAGCATCTCCCTAGGTTCTCTTTCTAAGTCCTTATCAGATTTTGCCACCTACCCATATCTGGATTTAGTCCATTCTCTCTTCTTGGGGGAGGGGTGTCTTCATTGAGGGGTCAGATTTGTGCCCTGTCCCTTGATTTTTTCTTTCAACTATAGATGGACTGTCCGCGTATTGGTCTGGCCATTTCCCAAATACAGTCCTGTCTCTAGGACAATGGTGGGCAACTTACAGCCCACAAGCCACATGTAGCCCATCAGGGTAATCTGACTGCAGGCTGTGAGACATTTTGTTAACTGTGACCATCCACAGGCACCCTTCCTCTGTGGTTTGCCATTCTTGGCCAATGGAAGCTGTGGGGCCGGTGCCTGTAGGTGAAGGGGCCACAGAGACGTATCAACCATCATTTTCTGCAGCTCCCATTGGGTGGGAACAGAGAACTGCAGCCACTGGGACCTACTAGGAGTGGTGCCTGCAGACAGTCAATGTCAGCAAAATCTCTCCTGCCTACAATCAGATTACCCTGCGATGCTGCATGCGGCCTGTCGGCTGCAGGTTGCCTACCACTGCTCCAGAATCTTCGTCTCCTAACCATCGTTTCATGCTGGGCATTGCTCTAACTCCATTAATTCATAGAGCTCATCAACTGTGGAAACCCTCCAACCAGTCCCCCATTTCCTTACATAGCCCATAATTTGAGTTGAAACCACAGTAAAGATTACATTCCTTTTTTTTTTTTTTTTTAAACTCCACAAACCTTCTGTATGCTTCAGGGAGAAGTTTGAACTTTTTGCAAGAAAGCTTGCTTACATTGTCTATGATCTTTATATTTCTCTCTGTCCAGAAGGGTGAAAATGGCTAAGGCCTTTGTCCATAATAGTAGTGGAGCCAAACACCAGACTGAGTCCTCCTACCTTATCTTGTTCAGTTCATACCCAATTTCAAAAGTGTTTAGCAACACATCTCTGTCATCCCCTTCCCTAATGCAAGGGGAAAAAAAATTGGAGTCTATGCCATGCACTGGGGCAGGTACTTGACCGTCTGACTTTATATGCTGGATATGGGACTTGCAGGTGCAGTCTCTCCATCTCCAGATGATGTTGACATTCCATATCCTTCATTCTTTCCTCATGCTGGCAGTGGTAATCCCCATCTTCAGTCTCATGTTGGCACTATCCATCTTCTCTCTCATTTTGGTGTTACCCATCTTCAAGCAGTTGATTCAAAACACAGGGGCTGTGTCTACACTGGCATGAATTTCCGGAAATGCTTAAAACAGAATAGTTTTCGCTATAAGTATTTCCGGAAAAAGAGCGTCTACATTGGTAGGCTGCTTTTCCGGAAAAGCCCTTTTTCCGGAAAAGCATCTGTGGCCAATGTAGACGCGCCTTTTCCGGAAAAGAGCCCCGATTGTCATTTTCGCGATCGGGGCTTTTTTCCAGAAAAGACTACTGGGCTGTCTACACTGGCC